TCATTTGCTGGGAGTTGCAGACTTGTAAATCAGTGTGAGATTCCAGCAAATTTGGATGCTAGCTAATGGTGTAATAAATTTCTGTGGGCATCTCAGCTTTTTTTCAGGCAAATGGAAAAACACCAGTTAATCAGTTACAAATATTTATTGAACCCACCGTGGGTGCAGAGGACGGTGTCAGATGTGGGAGCCCTAAGAGTCGGAGCTTCGATGCTTGCCGTCCAGGAGCCCGCGGTGCTCTGAGGTGTGAGGAGAATGTCAGTGCCAGAGGGACGTGGAGATGTGTGTGCATGTGAGTGTGTGCACACGTGTGTGCTATGCGGCCCCACAGAGCAAGGGAGAAGTGGTCCAGGAGGAGGGCATCGCCACTGGCCTCCAGCAGTGTTTAGGGGACAGTGATGTTTATGAGTGAAAATGACTTTTGCCTGTGGGAATAATGCTCCAAGGAGCACTGGTTACAACAAACGTACAGACAATATAAACAAGCTGTTTTCTCACATTCTTCCAGAAATCCAGCAAAAAAAATCATCAAGGTTTCTCTTTCTAATGGAAGAAACTAGCTGCCCAGTTGTGGATGACTGGTCAGTGATGCTCAGGTGGAGGCCAGCATCTGCTTTCTCGGGACCACAGACATCCCTTCTTTTTCTGTGTTTAAAACCGTGTACTGTCTGGTTTCCATAAGCTGTGGAGGTCCAGTCTTCTGCTCTGCAAAATAAAGAGGGGGATTACCATTCCAGAAATCTGGGACTTGGGGACAGCCTTAGAACTCCCCTGAGGTCAGCAGATTTGGGGATGTTAAGCACATGCCATGGTTCTGTGGTTGCTGTGGTTGCTGCCCACAGAGGTCTGGGCGGTGACCCCCCAGGAAGGGTGCAGTCTCAGCCCAGGCGCCGCTGGGGCGTCTGTTTCCCCACCTCTCCCAGTTGGCAGCAAGGCAGCTTTGTTACTGCTTTGGAAAAACACATGTTCTCTGAGCCATCTTTCAGAATATTCACTTGAACCCTAGAACTTTTCTGTGCCACAGACACATGGAAGGGGCTCTCCTGCAGCTGGGCAGCATTGGCATCCTAGGGGATCCCCTCTGAAAAGGCTGCGGATCTATCCCTTCTCTCATTTCCATGGTGGCCATCCTCGCTGAACCACCCTCCTATGGACAGGCAGCTCCCTTCACCCCGTGGCTCCTGGCAGAACGAAAGACCAGCCTGTAAGGTCCTAGCAGCTCCTGGGAGGAAGGCCCCCACGCCCTCAGGCTTTGTCTGACTTGCTTCACGTCTTGGAGCTCAGTCCCTAGGTCCCAGAGCTCTAGGGATCGGGGGCTTCCTGCCCTCCACAGAGCCTGCCCCCCTACCTAGATGTCCTTGCCAGCCCCATGTAGGCAACCGCGTTCTGTAAATGCTGGAGCCCAACCTGATGCCACTTTCCTGGGGCCTTTGTATGTTGCATGAGGTCAGTGCCCCTTCTTCATGCTGCCTGGTAGCATGTTCCTCTGTATTCTGTATCACAATCGTGCGTGAATAGTTTGCATGTCCACTTCTGCCCCAGAAGCATGTCCCACAGTATTCCGTCTGTCCAGCAGGTGACGTTAGAGCAGAGCTGTGCGTTTCCCAAGGTTGGGGTGCAAGGCAGAACACGGGGCAGGGATGGACTCGCGAATGCACAGCAGATATGGGGCTGGAAATAATGCGAAGCGTGTTGATGGGAGTGTGCACACGGCCCTCCAGAGGACACAGAGAAAGCTCGCGAAGTTGTTTATTGAGTAATAAATACGGAAATCAGGTTTCTTTCAAGGCGGTATTAACAATATCTGTTTCCTAGATGAACTTACGATGCTGGAATAGCAGTATCCGTGGGTTCTCACACTGAGTTTGGCCATTTAACAAACAGTCGAGGCTGTGTGTGTACGTACACACACATACATGTCACGTGCACAGCACAAAACACGCGAAGACAAAGGCATGACCGTGCAGCACACATGTAGAGACACACACATGCACACATGCAGACACACGCATGCATTCATGAAAACTGCACACGTGCATGCATGTGCACACACACTGTATACACACGTGTAGATGCGTGCACGTGCACATGCAAACACACCTACACGTGCATCTACAGAATACTGTACTGTACTTCTAAAAAAATTTATCTGTGTCTAAACGTGGACCTGCACAGTTTAAACCAGCGTTGTTCAAGGGTCAGCTGTCTATGACATTCTGGAGAAGACACAGCCGTGGAGACAGTCAAATGACCAGTGGTGCCAGGGCTGGGAGGGGTAGAGCGATGAACAGGTGGAGCACGGAGGATCTTCAGGGCAGTGAACGTACTCCGTGTGATGCCAAAAGAGTGAATACGTGCCATTGTGCATTTGTCCAGAGCCATAGGATGTCCAGCACCAAGAATGGCCCTGATAGGAACTATGGACTTTGGGTGATAATGATGTATCAACGTAGGCTCATCAGTTGGGGCAAGTGTACCACTCTGGCCGGGGCTGTTGATTATGGGAATGGGTATGCATGTGTGAGGGCAGGAGGTATACGGGAAATCTCTGTACCTTCCCTTCAATTTTGCTGTGAATCTAAAACTGCTTTAAAAAATAAAGTTTAGGGGTACCCGGGTGGCTCAGTCGTTAGGCAGCTGCCTTCGGCTCGGGTCATGATCCCAGGGTCCTGGGATCGAGCCCCGCGTCGGGCTCCCTGCTCGGCGGGAAGGCTGCTTCTCCCTCTCTCTCTCCTCCTGCTTGTGTTCCCACTCTCACTGTGTCTCTCTCTGTCAAATAAATAGAATCAAAATTAAAAAAATGATAAAAATAAAGTTTATTTGGGGCGCCTGGGTGGCTCAGTCAGTTGAGCATCTGACTCTTGATTTCGGCTTAGGTCATAGATCATGATCTCAGGGTTGAGAGATTGAGCCCTGCCTCAGTCTCTCTCTCTCTCTGCCCTTCCCCGAACTCACACACACTCTTTCAAATAAATTAATTAATTAATAAAAAAAGTTTATTTAAAAAATAAAGTTTAAAAAAATGTACTGGGGAAAGGTCTGTCCTATCAGTAAGGCTGTAGTCTAGGGGCAAAGAGAATCAATGGTTAGTTTAGTTTCAACTTTCAAATCATTAAAACCAAATTAGTAGCTAAAACTAATTTTAAAAATACAAAAAATACTCTGTATTACATTCTATATATGTGTTTTAAATACATGTTTAAGAGAAAGATTTCAAGAAAATCCAATAAATATTTTTCTGAAAATATATTCACGACATTTTACAGCATAAACCAAATTTAAAGAATGATGCCATTATACTTCAGAAGGGAATTAATTCATTTGGGATGTTCCAAGATAGATAGGAAATGTCTGGCCACTTTTCACTGATGAGGACTCCAGCCGGGAGGGAGTCAGGAACCCGATTTCTCTTCCTCCTATGGCCTTGGTCACGATGCTCATTTGTAAAATGTGGGGTCAGACCATCTTCATGCTCCTTCTAGTCCCCATGCATTATGATTTTACTTTCAAGATACTCCATTTGCAAAAGAAATTGAAAGTTTTAGGTGCATTCTAAAGAGTTCTTTGTTTTTCTTTTAGCCCCTTCTTCCTCCACCTCCCCCCCAATAAACACACCATCCACAGGCATGGTGTTCTTTGCACAAAATAAAATCAAAAGCACAGGGACACTTACTGTCTGTGTTTGTGCGGAGAAAATTGCCTGTCTCACTGGGTGGTGGCAGGGGGACAAGACCCTCCCTCCAAGAGAACTGTCGTTGGGAATCACTCTGGCCCAATGTGGCCATTGTGTTAATTGAAGGGAGTCGCTCAGACAGAGTGCCCCGGAGCCCAGTGTGGTGACGATGGCAGAAGGTTGACTTCAGCTGTGCAGGTTGTCTTCCCAGATCCTGTGAGCCTTGCAGAGTCCCATAGAAATTCACGGTATGCTTTCGATACTTAAGAAGATTTTCTGCTAATCACACAGCACCATCCGTCTGAAGCACATATGTAGTATCAGACCAGTAATTACTGAGTCAGCCTGGCACTGGGCAAATGTGTTTCTGCTAATTAAACTTGTTGCATTTGAATGGCTTTCTTCAGCTACACTTCGTGCAATGAGCCCGTCGTGAACAATAAAGAAGTGCTTCCCCTTTCCGTCCGGGCCTGAAACTGCAGATGGCCGCCCTGTGTATCACGCACTGGCCCTTGAATTACTTTTTGTGTGTACGAAAGACAGTAATTTGGATGTTTGAACCCCCTACAGGAAGCTTATTTCAAAGTGAACAATTTGCCGAATAAAGACTAATTGGGGCCTAAATTAATTAGAAGGTGTGGTTTGAAAAGATGATGAGCAGAGTCTGTCATTTTAGACACATGGAACAGAGCTGGATCAGTTGGTCCCTGCTCATGCCTCCTGTTCCGGGAGCACCTCTCCTTTGCCACATTGCCGAAAGCTCCCCTTGAAACGGGCCTTGTTGCCATTCCTGGGTCTGCCCCCTGTTTGCCAGCCCCCTCCAACACGGCACCCATGTAGCAGACGCTTCCACAGTCCTCATGGCTTCTGCAAATTAATATTTGTATTTCCTGGGTGTTCTGTTTCTCATCTGGAAAACTGGCCCTGAATGTTATTGATTTTTTTTTGTCATGGGACTGTCAGAAGCAAAGCTTCACATCAGAAAGGGGAAAGCCAGGGGCAGGAAATTATAAAAAGTGAGAGGTGGGGAAGGCGAGGGGGCAAGGGATGCGAAATAGAATCGAAAACGCAAACGACTCTGCATTCACGTCCTTTTCTCTATACCTTTGCAATTGAGCTTTCCATGATGCTCTTTTATTTAAATAAACCATTACTTTCCAAGTGCTCCTGAATTCTGATAGCGTTTTGATGACTTTCTCAAGCCATGTTCCAAAGCCTCAGCACGGTGCATAATTAGAATATATTGCAAGGATGTGTTTAATACCTTTCTTCTCTCTGAAAACGACGTGTCACTTTCTCTTTCTTCTCTGCCTCCCTTTGCCCACAGATGGAGTGTTTGGAAGGTGCCAGAAGGTTCCAGCGATAGACGTAGACCGCCATGAAGCGTCCCCGCTGGTTCTGCAGCACCTGACCGCCACCTTGCAGAAGCTCTCCCGTACAGGTAGGCGGGCTTGGCCCAAAACTGTGTCCTGGGACTGGGCACGCTTCTGGTGGCTGTGACTGCACACGGGGCTCCGTGGAAATCGTGGGCCTCTTGGGTGGCGAGGAATTAGAAAAGGACGAAATTGGCCAGTGTAGCAGTAGAGAGAAGCAGACTGGGAGCAAGCGGGCTTGCGCGTGGAGGGCTCCGGCGGGAGTTTCCTTCGTGCATTGGACGCGGCCCTGGCTTGCCGCTGTGCATGTGGGAACCACAGCACTTCCGTCCCTGCTTCGGAGTCCGAGAGACCCGTGGAGTGGCCGGGCAGGCACCAGGAGGCCGCTGGGCAGCCCGCTCAAGCCCACCTGGCCACACCCAACCCGCGGCCGACCGGCCTCCCGAATAGCCGCTTGCCTCTGCATACTGTCTTTATGCAAGTTTCTGTTATACGGTTTTGTCACAGGAGATTGCTTTTATCTGTTTACTTCACAGGGGTGCTCAGAAGATAATTTTACAAATTACAATAATTTGAAAATTATTATGTGTAATTATCATGTGTAATTAATATTATGTATATAATTTTTACGATGGAGGGGAAGCTACATCAGCATGCTTACCATTACTGTGACCCGTTCCTCCTGCGGGGGTGAAGCCCTATTTCCTTGTACCCTTAGAGTCTGGACAGGAGCTGACTTGCAAACATCGCCATGGTGTTGGGTGAGGGTTGGGGGTGAAGTTCTTGGAGTGAAATTGCATGGTCAGTACCCGAATGGCCCTGCTGGGGGCCCAGGCCCGGAAGTGAGGGACCGGGAGAGCTCCTACATTCTTTCTTTGTCAAATCCTACAGGGCTTATCCGTGGCTCCATAAAGAAAAGGAGGTCTGTGGTCCAGTAAGTTTGGGAAACAGTACTTGCTCTGTTCCTCCTTTTGAATGTTCGTAATGTACACTGGCCGGCTAACACACTGGAAAGTTCTGCAGGAGAGAATTACGTTAATTCAGGGCGCCTGGGTGACTCAGTCAGTTAAGCCTCTGCCTTCGACTCAGGTCATGATCCTGGGGTCCGGAGAGTGAGCCCCGTGTCGGGCTCAGCAGGAAGTCGGCTTCTCCCTCTGCCCCTCCCCCTGCTCGTGCTCTCTCTTGCTCATTCTCTCTCTCTCAAATAAAATCTTTTTAAAAAAAGAACTATGTTTGTTCATTCACTCGAAGTCACTGGACTGTGGCACCCTCTCCCCCTGGGACACCGGCTGTCCTGGGGTTCAGTCAGGGAAGCAGACCACGTGCATGGTCAGTTACAGAGGTTTGGCTGTGTGCAGCTGTGGGAGATGAGAGAGCGTCTCCACCAAGCTGCTGTTCATGGGGCCTTAATCTGCAGGGAGACAGTGGGGAGGGACGGTGGGTGTGAGGTGAGAGGTCAAGGACAGGGACCGACAGGAGTCCATGACTGTTCTCGGGGCCTTGACCTTGGTGATGAGGTGTTCCGCAGAAGCCGGCCCCTCATCAGGGAGCTGAAGACACACAGTTCCCAGAGGCTGGAGAGGCTGAATGGGGCCTTGGAGGAGCAGGGCCGCTGCTGCAGATCAGAGGGAGTGGGCAGAGGGGCAATGATGTGCGCGAGCTGCAAAACGCCTGTGGTCCTACAACATCTAGTTCATAGTAGCCAAGTCGTGTGGTAGCTTGGAGGACCATGGTCGAGTGTTCCTTCTTGACCAAGGTATAGTAGCAGGGCCGGAAGCAGTTTCTTGAAAGGAGAGTAGCTATCTGCAGAGGGCGTCATGGTTTGCTCCAAAATCCTGAGGGTCTGCTCTGTAGTTCACCTATAGGAGCCGTTCGAAGGCTGCAACCATCATCCGTGTCTGCCACTGGCATCCTTTGGTGTGCAGATGTCTTACCCAGAGATGCGGATAGTTGCTAGTTCCTGCTCATTAGGTCCAGTCAGCCTAATATTGTAACTGTACTGATGTCCCGTGCATGATGTCCTGTGGAAAGGAGAGCTAATTAAGGCCCCTGAGGACCAGACGCTGACAGGGGGCTGGAGTGTTGATAGACCTATGACAGCACAGGGAAGATGCGTTGCTGGCCTGGCCCGGTGAGAGCAGACGCTTCTGGTGATCTTTACTCCGGGCGTAGGGGACGCACTCACCGACTAGTAGCTGCACCGTGGGTCCCATGCTGTGTTCACTGGTTCTATCAGGGAGACCACACTTGCTGCAGCAGCAAGCAGCTGGGTGGCTCACCCCCGGGTCAGTTCGTGATAACCCGCTGTCCTTCTCCGCCATCCGCCTGTCTTGTGCACAGGCCAGCTAGGTGCATTGAATGGGGTGTGGTATCAGTCACCGCCCCGCATCCCTCAGATCCTTGACGGTGGCGCTAACCTCACCCTGATCACCCCCTCCAGGGATGCAGAACTGCTTTCGGTGTACGGTACCTGGTTTTGTAAGGAGAGGCAGTCCTAGGGCCTTTCCCACCAGAGTAGCCCTGGCTCCGCAAGTTCGGGAACAAGTGTGGGGGTTCTGCCAGCTGCCGAGTGTGTCTGTTCCAGTTACGGGTTCTGGAACTGGGGAAATACCCCAGGATGAATCTGATCACCTGGTTCCTATAAGCCCCTCTCTGCCTGGTGGACCATAGTGACATTTGGGTTTCCTGGTGTTAGTGTCAGTCTAGAGTCAGTGTTTGGTAACCACTGAAAAATCTCATTCTTTCCTCTTCCCTGGTGCACAGTCATCCTAGCAGACGCCATAGGTCCCTTTGGGGAAAGGCTACGAGAAGTAATAACAGTACAGATTTTTGGCTTGTGTGGCCTTCAGGGGCCTTGCCCCCACCCTCCACCTTCATTCATGGCCTCTGGTCTGTGAGATGGAAATTGCCAAAGCTGGACATTGTTTTAGTTTACATTAAGGTTAACTTTTTGTTTTGTACACTCCATGGGTTTGCACAAATGTACACTGACCTGTGTCCATCATGATAGGATCATACAGCGTAGTTTCACTGCCCGAAAAGTCCTCTGTGCTCCCCCTGTTCTTCCCTCACCCCAGTCCTCCAACCACTGGTCTTTTTACTGTCTCCATAGTTCTGCTCTATCCAGAATGGCATGGAGTTAGAATCATATAGTATATAAGCCCTCTTCAGATTGGCTTCTTTCACTTAGTAATATGCATTTAAGGTTCCTCCATGTACCTCCATTTTCATGGCTTCATAGCTCATTTCTTTTTAGTACTGAATAACATTCCATTGTCTGGACGGACGACCATTTGTTTATCCATTCACCTACTTAAGGGCATCTTGCGTGCTTCCAAGTTTTGGCAGTTGTGAATAAAGCTGCTGTAAACATCTCTGTGAAGTTTTTTGTGTAGACATGTTTTCAGCTCTTTTGGTTAAATACCAAGGGGTACATTTCTGGTTCATATGATAAGAGCAGGTTTAGTTTTATGAGAAACCACCAAACTGTCTTCCAGACATGGGTGTGGAGGGGTAAGGGGTTACTAAACCTCTTTGAGACTCAATTTCTTCATCCAGTGAGCGTGGACCGTCTAGATCACCCAGTCCTGCCCTAGGTCACCCAGCCCTGCCCTGTGACATCTGTCTTGCTCAGAACTGCCCCCTTCCCCAGGTCTAAGTTGATTCCCTCTGGCTGGTCCTGAAGCAGGCTGCAGAGGTTTCTTGGGAGCCACCTGGCACCTCCCACAGAAGCTGGGAGACGTCTGTCTGGTGGGTGTGGGATTCTGTCTTGGAGATGGTGGGCGCTTCTGCTGCTGGTGGCTGTTTGCTGCTTAGTCACAGAGGGCATGTCAAAGTGACGGACAGGCTCACGGATGTACCCCTCAATTAGCTTGTACTTGTGAGGGCAAATTGCATTTCTTTCTTTTTGTTAGTGGCTTGGAAGTCACACCCCAATTAGGCTGGAGGTGTAGGTGTGAAGTGGGGTTTTATAGTCTAGTTTGAAAAGAAAACTTCATGGGGAGAATCATTGTGCTTTTCTGAACCACACTGTTCTGAAGATTTCTGGAGATGATTTTTGTACATCCCCTCAGGCCCCTGATGGCTTGTGCTGGCCAGTTCTCTGCTACTCACCTCCCAGGTAGCTGATGGCTGGAACCTCTTCTCTGCTTCTTGCCTCCCTTGGTCAGCACATTGGAGATGCGTGGTCCACAAGGCTTAGGGGTAGACTCGCCTCCAAACTTCCCACGGTCCATGTGAAGATCCGGTTCTGGGGTCAGGCCTGCAGTTATTACACAGTTTAATGATGGTTCTTTGGGAAAATCATTATCCAGCTGGAGAATATGAAGTATGGGCATAAGTCTGAGTTGCTCTTTATAAGGAGTTGGAACCCTGCTTCAGAACAGGACAGGGGAAGGTACTCTGGGCCGTGCTTGTTGCTTAGATCTACAAACTGACTCCCGAAGGACCCTTGCGGCCCCCTCCCCGCCCTTCATTCCGAATCCTTATCTTTTCTTTCAGGGGACCTGGGAGGGAGAGAAAAACAGAGGAAAAGCACTTTCAGGTGGCAAAATGATCACAGTTTTTGACTTTGATATTGCCCCATGCTGAGCTCCCGTCTGGGTCTGATCTTCCGTGTGACCGGGCGCCCCTGGCTTCATCTTGGCCCCATTCCAGCCATGGCCTGACTCTGGAAGCCAACAAGGGCAGCCTCCCTGAGAAAGGCAGAGGTGGCACATTGTCTTTACTACCTTGCTCAATGCCTGCTCCTCGGCATGCACCCCGCAGACCATCTGATCTTCCTGACTGCTTGTGAGCCTTGAGATTAGCTTTTACTGCTCCTGTGTTTCTGGTGCGTGCTCTTGGAGACAAGGGGTATCTTCTTGGAGCCAGGAAGTCACACCAGCCAAATGATGCACAGAGCTACACCTCGCTGAGTCCCCAGCCTGCTGCAGGCTTTGGCTGAGGGTCAGCTCTGGTGCATCACAGACAAGAGGACACAACTCTTGTGGATGGAGAGCTGAGCCTTCTAGCTCGTTTCTGCCCTAGGACAGCTTTCCTGCTGCTGGCTGCCTCCTGACCCGTTACC